CCTACAGTTCAGCCAATTTGATCTGTTTGACTTCTCTAAACATGGCTTCTACTTCCCAACCCTTTGCCTTTACTAATGCATTTTCCTCAACCTGAAGTCCTCCTTTGATCTCTGTCTCAAGCCTGCTGGTTCCTTGAGGGCCTATAAAATGCCATTTCCTCAGGACAAAGCCATCCCTGACTGTTCTCCCTTCTCTCCAAGCCATCCTCCTCCTCAGCCTGTCATTTGTTTATACCTCTTGCAACACTTATTATATATTGCCTTGAGTTATTCATGTGCATGTCCTTTCACCTAATAGAATATATGGTTCATACAGGCTTTGGGAGCCTGTCTTATTCTCTGTATCCCTACAGTGCCTAGTAGAGTGCCAGGCACATGTTAGATGCTCAGTAAATACTTGCTGAATTCAAGAATGAAGGGAAATTTGAGTTGGAGATGCTTTATTCCCAGCAGAAGGGATGACTTAGGGTGACCAAAAAGTTGACATCTTGTCAAGTAATATTAAGTCAACCCAAAAGCAGCTGTGGTGTTGGGCTCTTCCCATATCCTGGAATCACTTTCTTTGTTTCGTCACAAAATGTTAGAGTATTAGCTGCTATTTTATCCCTTACCAGCTAAAAATGCCTGGTTGTTACTCTGTCAGGCAACAGGATTTTGATCCATTCAGTCTTTCATGCTATTCCTGTCATTGCTGATCAAGAAAAGCATTTGGAATCAATTCTTCTGGTATGGGTTTTGAGGCAATGGTAGACTTCCCCAAAAGACTCCCTGTTACTCCTCACATCTACCCTACAAACCTGCCTCTTACTAACATGAAACCTCATTTCACCAAAATGCCTGGGAGCCGTGGCTCATTAATGAATTTTCAGATTAATTACCGATTCACTAGAAAACTCTGTTGGTTCAGCCGTTGCTGAAAACTTGTCAAAAACATCCAGGCCCACTTTTCTGCATTCAGTGACCTATGGGGAAAATATCTGAAACGTTGCTTTGATTGTGGCTCTTACAGTGACTTAGAGTCCTGATTAGGGCACTTAGTTCTCTTTATACCACATAGTAGATATCAAAAGTATAGACAGACATACTGATATATCCTTAGAAGCTATTTTTTAAATTATTCCCTCCTATCAGCTTTGTGTTGTCATATTCCCCTTTGCCTAAGAAGGGAAGGCAGAATTATAATTGTAGTTCTTGGAGGGTCCTGTTTAATTTGGGATTGGTTAATTTAGGTTTTATGCCAGAAGAAATTCAAGGAAGCACAGGTAGCAGTGTAAGTATGCCATGGGTTCTCATAAGCATGTCCCAGACCTCCAGTGGGAGGAGACTCAAGGTCTGGGCCCTCCACTATTCTCCCACTGCTTCTGTCTTCTTTTTTTTGCAAACTCTTGCTGAGCCAGACAAGTCCCTGCTGGTAGTTGGTTGGTGAAGCATGCTTTGGATAGGAGAGAGGCAGGCAACGTTCGTAAAAACATACACCGGCCACTTTTCCTTGATTTTTGTCAGAGAAAAGAGATGCCCTTTGGAGAAATAGGGGTAAGCAGGATTATTTTTAAAGGAAGTCAGAGCTAAGCTCCTTTGAACAAAGACTCAAGACTAAGGCTTCCAAAATATGGAGTCGAGAGTAAATTGGCAGAGGAGGAAGAAATGAGAACGGGGGGTCCAACATTTGTGCGTTTGAAAATGGAACCGCCTACCACAAATGCATTTCTAGAGACATCTTCATCCACTGTCTCTTTGCTCAGAGGCATACACAAACCTACTCAAAGAGTATCTCTGGACTCCTCTCCCCCTTCCTTAGGCATCTTTCTCTTGGCCTCCTGGGAATTTTCTGCCTGTTACAATCTCATATTCCAAACCATTTTTTCCCCCAGGGACAGGGAGGGAAGGGTATACTGCATATATGAAGATGCAGGTAGATAAAGGTAATTACTTAAATACATATAGGGCAAGACTTATTGGTTTGGAGGCCCCAATTAAGATGCAGAAGAGCATGTGAGGTTGATGATTTTATTTCGGGGAGAGTTAATTGACGGAAGGTGAAGGCAGACAAAGGACTTCTGCTTACTGCCTTCTTGAATCCCAATCAGGAATTATGATTAAAGACTCCACGAGACAACAGAGGGCTGATGAATTGGTGTCTCTTTTTTTTTCCTTTTTTGCCGTCATTCACACTTGATTGACTTCAACCTTTCAAGTGCAAAAGTCTCTCTTTTTCATTATTATTCATAGCCATCTGAGTTTTTCTAATTAAAGTGTATGAAAACAATTACTGATCCGTCGTACTGAGTCTGTTAGTGGGGATGTCTGCCTTACTGTAATGTGTATAAAAAGCTCACAGTTTTCTATAATGATGTGCAGCTGAGGTGTTAGATAATTTTATTCTTTTTTACTCTGTAGGGTTTTTTTTATTTCTCATGATTTATTTTTTCATAATTCCTAAAGATCCCAGGAAAGGACTGATCCTGCAGCTTCAACTGAGAAGGGGCGGGAGGGAATATTCATTTTCTTTCTCTTTCTCTCCAACTCAACCCCCCCACACACACACACACATATACACATACACCATTCCCCACCCCCTTTTCTGAAGCTGGTTACTATAAATTAATCGGTGACCTTTCACTTCTTGCATTCCCACTGGACTCCCCAGCCACACTGGTCAGAAATGCTTTCTATTAAAAATAAAATAGATGGAATGAGTTTGGCATTCTCAGTGCCATTGATTCATCAGCCCCTGGACTTAACCAGCTGCTGTTACATGTTGTATTAAGGGGGTGCAGATGTCTGTAAGGGACAGAAATGCTGTCTCATGCACTCTTACTCACCTGTACTGCACCTGTTCTTTGGTAAGCAGGATTCTCAGAAGTCCTTAGCCTCAGTGTGTGTCATTTGGAGAACATAGACTTTCCTGTCAGCCCCTCACATAACATGACAGGTGTCCCTCACTGAGCTGTAGCTTCTTAGTGCCCATAAAGTCATTATCTGGCCTTTCTCCAAATGTTTAGTATTTCAGCTACAACCTAAAGAGAGATTTTGGTGATTGCAATGAACATCATCAGCTGTTTGGAGAATGGCTCAAGTCTTCAGAACCAATAGTAATTTATACATTGAATACCAACATTGATCTCTGGGTATCATCCCAGCGTGAAAGATGCAGGCATATAGAGATTGGACTGAGACAGGATCTGTGATTTCATTGGCGTTGTTTCTCAGTAAGGAAACGCCTTCTCCCAATTCAGGTCAGGACCTTCCCTTCAACTTATAGAGAGTTATCTACAGCCAAGTTGTCAAACTCAAATAAAAATGAGGCCACTGGAACTGTACAGAAAGATCCCTGCTGAAGCGTATTGACATTGAAAAACCACACATTCATATTATCTATGTCCTATTATATTTTTATTTATTCTGTTAAATATTTCCCAATTCTGTTTTAATCTAGGGCACTTGATTAACACTTCTGGTCAGAGATTAAGTGGCTTGGCCAGGGTCACATGACCAGTTTCTGTCAAAGGCAGGATTTGAACCCAGGTCATCCTGACTTTAAAGCCTGCTCTCCATCCACTCCACCAGCTTGCCTCTCATGTGGAGAAGACTTTGTTGAAACATTTTGTCTATCAAACGTCATTCTTGCTAAGTGATTATGAGTGCCAAATAGAACAGATGATGATTATTTCATTTATTCTTTATCTTCAAATTATTTTTATATTTAGAATACGTAAATATATTAAAATTTTATATATTATTTTTATTTTTATAATATATAAATATATACTTTTATTTTATGTATTTATAGGATTATAAATATAAAAATTTCTACTTGTTGTTTTATAAATGTATAAAAATGTTCTTCTAAATCCCATCTTTCTGGCTGTTGTAGAAAAGGTGGGAAAGTTTTCTGGTTACGTTAGAAAAATGTGCTAACCCCGACTTGTTTTTGTTGTATACCAGCAGGCAAAGGTGAGGGAACCTGGTGTGTAACCACGGCTACAAATCAAATTGGGCATCCCTCCTGTTAAAACTAGAGAATATGAGTTCTCATGTTGCATGTTGTTGTGAGGCAATATGGAGGTCTCAACACCGAGGACCAAATTAGGAGGTCCTTCTTTAGGGCAGTGTAGGTAAGCGTGTGGCAAGGTGGTGGGAAAGGCCAAAGCAGAGAGAGGAACCAGATGCAGAATAGTGGCTCTTTTGATCCAAGCCAGTTGACTGAGCCCCACAGTGTTTAAGGCCAACAGCTGATAGCAGGGTCAGGTCCTCCCCTGCTGGCGATATTCCACAGGGCTGGCTCACTGGCGGCAACATCAGACGCTGCCTTCTGATGTCTTCTGCCCATGGCAGCCCCTCAAGAAGAAATCACTGACTTGAGGGAGGCACGTGGAGTGTTCCTTCTCTCTTGATCTGAGTGTGCAAAGGGTTACAAAACGTTGTTTTCCTGGAAAATCTGCCAACTTGTCTGCCTGTCCTCATCCCTTCCTTTGTTCCCCTTTTTTCTCATTCTTACCCTTTCCTTCCCTCTCTTATTCCCCTCCTTTTCTTGCCTGAATACATTTTTAAAACAGTACTACAATGCTCCCTGCTTCAAGATTACAGTGTACTTTACTAGGTATGATTTAATTAGGGCCCTTATTATGTTTTCAGCAGCTTAAGGTGGGCCTTTCAACTTATCTACCTAATTGGCTGCACAAGAAGTTTCACAACCCATGACAAAACATTGTCAGTGATCAAAGTCAAAATTCTGCATAAAGGAAAAATATTAATAATAAGATTATTCTTCAAGTGTGCACTGCTAATTATGTCCAGAATGTAACCGTAGAAACACTTTTGACTGATGCGAGCTTTGTCTAATAAACATGAATCTTCAGTGAGCTATGAAAAGTGACACCTCCGCCTTCACACTGGGGAAGGCTAATTTTGCTTATTAAAGAATTTTTAAACATCTTCCCATTTTGTTTCCCCTTTCTCCCCATTTGACTCCCTTCATTTCTCTGTCTCTCCTGCCTCAGGTGACAACCCCCGAAATGATGATGCCCAGCAGCATGTTTCTCCCAGCCGCTGTTCCGGACCGAGATGGTAGCTCCAACCTGGAGGAGGCAGGAAAGCAGCCTGGTCAGTTTTCCTCATTCTTGACTTGCGAGAATTGACGTAAAATCAAATCCTAAGCCAAAAGCAGTGTCCTTTGAGGTCTGGAGGGTCATTTCCGGTCCACAGAGCTATACCTGTGGAAGAAATGGGATGATGGTGTTGACTGTCTTTTGCCTTTGATGTTATCTGTCTCTTGCACTGGCATTTATTTGTACTTTATTCATATAGTTTAAAGATGAGAGACAGACAGACAGTCAATGGAATTTTGGTGTCGTTCTCTGCTTAAGTGGATGTGATCAGCTTTGTGACCCGAGTATCTTGAAATAGGCATTAACAAAGAATCTATAGGGGCACACTGTGTGTGTCTGTATGTGCTTGTACATGTGCAGCTGTTATAAACGAGACTCAGTTGATGAACCAAGTAGTGTGAGCTGCTGAGATTCCATAATGAAACTCTGAGCCTGGTAGCACTAGGTGACTAGATGTCATTTTCATAAGGAATTATCCCTTAGAGGCCAGTGGACTACATGAAATGGCTTTGGAGGCGTAGACTTGGTCCCATCCTGTTTAAAGATTCAGTTTTACTTCTCAAGGGTGAAGTTTTACTTCCCTCTGGTAAAGAATAGAAGGTCTCTAAAGATGTCTTTTTGTAGGAATTTATACTTCTCCGGCCTGTTTGTGGGTATCTCCTGCTTTGTGGCTAAGGAGAGATCTTTACTTATCACCCTTTCTGCCTTTCACCCCTCAAGAGAGCCAAGTAGATTCTAAATGGTCTTATTTAAGAGTTCAGCCTAATGAATGTATTCACCACAACCAAAACATCTAGTAACATCACAACCCTATTGGCCAGCCTGAGATTCTTTCCCTGCCTGCTGTGGAGAAACACTGAGAAGATCTTTTTTTTTTTTCCCCGAAGAGAGTGAAGGTATTTGTATTACTGCCCCCAAGATGTAGTAGAAAATGAATTCTGTCAGAGACTATTCTCAGTTTCATTGTAGAGACTTAGAGAATTGTCTTGTGAGAATAGATGCTTTGATGGTAGATTATCCTGGACAACAAAAAATTCAACAACCAGATTTTAACCAAAATTAGAGTAGCTTAAAAGAGAAGGTTTTTTCCCTGACTTTACCTAGGATAGCAATACCATCCACTTTATAGGTGGGTTGGCTTTCCTCCTTAAAAGAGAGAAATAATGCGGTAAAATATTCTCAAATTGAACAGAAATTATATGCCAATCCCAGTATGATTTGACTGAGTTTTTAAGAATCACCATTATTTTTCCCTTTGAAAGTTTTCTGGGACTTATGTGGAAAAAAAAAAGATCCAGTAGCTATTTCAGTCCCAAGGCAATGAAGGCTAAAGAAATAAAGGATTGTTTCAGTGTGCCTTCAACTTCTGGATCGATTCTTAGGTTTATCAAATATGTTAAAAGGTCTGTTGTAAATTGTAACTTTTTCATTAGTTCTTTTACTCCTATTTATATCTTGATTTATAAGATATCATGCTTGAAAAGTAATAAAACCACATTTTTAAGAAGAGTTGCTCTTTTAAACTGGCTTTCCCTGCCCCTTCCTTGATCACATTGCAATAATAAGCTGTTATCACAGTGGAAAACTCTGGCTGACATTTCTAATGTTGTTGTTTCTTGTTTTTCATTTCTCTTTGGGGTTTGATATATTTTGTAGAAACCTCAGAGGATCTGGGGAAGAGCGTCCTGCCATCGGAGAGCGTGGAACACAGCGGAGAACTGAAGCCCTCCCCCGCTGACCCAAGCTCTGCACGTGAGGAATCGGGCTTCCTCTGCTGGAAGAAGGGATGCAACCAAGTCTTCAAAACTTCTTCAGCCCTTCAGACGCATTTCAATGAGGTCCACGCAAAGAGGCCTCAGCTGCCCGTGTCCGACCGCCACGTGTACAAGTACCGCTGTAATCAGTGCAGCCTGGCCTTCAAGACCGTGGAGAAGCTTCAGCTCCATTCACAGTACCATGTCATCAGGGCGGCCACCATGTGCTGCCTCTGCCAGCGCAGTTTTCGGACTTTCCAGGCCTTGAAAAAGCATCTCGAGACGAGCCACCTAGAACTGAGTGAGGCAGACATCCAGCAGCTTTACAGCGGCCTCCTGGTCAACGGAGACCTCCTGGCCATGGGCGACCCATCCTTGGCGGAAGACCACACCATCATTGTGGAGGAGGACAAGGAAGAGGAGAGCGACTTGGAGGATAAGCAGAGCCCCGCTGGCAGCGATTCCGGGTCGGTCCAAGAGGATTCCGGCTCGGAACCAAAGAGGGCTCTTCCTTTCAGAAAAGGCCCAAATTTCACAATGGAAAAGTTTCTGGATCCTTCCCGCCCTTACAAATGTACAGTCTGCAAGGAGTCTTTCACCCAAAAGAACATTCTGTTGGTTCACTATAATTCTGTCTCCCATCTGCACAAGTTAAAGAGAGCCCTCCAGGAGTCTGCAACTGGTCAGCCAGAGCCTACCAGTAGCCCAGACAACAAGCCTTTTAAGTGTAACACCTGCAGCGTGGCCTACAGCCAGAGCTCCACCCTGGAGATCCACATGAGGTCTGTGTTGCATCAAACCAAGGCTCGGGCAGCAAAGCTGGAGGCCGCTGGGGGCAGCGGGGCCAGCAACGGCTCGGGGAATAGCAACAGCATCTCTCTGGGAGCTTCCGCACCGAGTCCGGTCAACACGAGCGGGGGCAGCAGCACCTTCCCCACGACCAGCACAGGCAGTGCCAGCACTGCCCCGAGTTCCAGTTTGCTCAGCCAGGCAACAAGCGACGGTGTGGGCATGCCGCCCCTTGGGAATCCTGTAGCGGCCAACATCGCCTCCCCTTCTGAGCCCAAGGAGGTCAACCGAAAGAAGCTGGCGGATATGATCGCCTCCAGGCAGCAGCAGCAGCAGCAACAGCAACAGCAGCAGCAGCAGCAGCAGGCACAGACGCTGGCCCAGGCCCAGGCCCAGGTTCAGGCCCACTTGCAGCAAGAGCTGCAGCAGCAGGCGGCCCTCATCCAGTCTCAGCTGTTTAATCCCACCCTCCTGCCTCACTTTCCCATGACCACGGAGACCTTGCTCCAGCTCCAGCAGCAGCAGCATCTCCTCTTCCCATTCTACATACCCAGTGCCGAGTTCCAGCTCAACCCGGATGTGAGCCTGCCTGTCACAAGCGGGGCAAGCCTGATGCTGACAGGGACCGGCCCTACCCTGCTGGAAGATTTGAAGGCTCAGGTCCAGATCCCCCAGCAGAGCCACCAGCAGATCCTGCAGCAGCAACAACAGAGCCAACTCTCCATGGCCCAGACGCATACTGCTCTCCTTCCACAGGGCCAGCACCCAGAGAAGAAAAGCAAACCCGTGGTCGTCAAGGAGAAAGACAAAGAGGGCCAGAGGGAAAGGGAAAACGTGGAGAGAGGAGAGGGGAACGCGGGCTCTAAGGAATCCCTGCCGGACACCTTGAAGCCCAAAGACAAGAAAGACTTTGCGCCAGGAGGTGGTTCGGAGCCCTCGATGCTCCCCCCCGCGCATTGCCTCGGACGCAAGGGGCAATGCCACCAAGGCCTTGCTGGAGAACTTCGGCTTCGAGCTGGTTATCCAATATAACGAGAATAAGCAGAAGGTGCAGAAGAAGAGTGGAAAGACGGAGCCCGGTGACAGCTTGGAAAAGCTGGAGTGTGACTCGTGCGGCAAGCTCTTCTCCAACATTCTGATCCTGAAGAGTCACCAAGAGCACGTTCACCAGAATTACTTTCCCTTTAAACAGCTGGAGAGGTTCGCCAAGCAGTACAGAGAACACTACGATAAGCTGTATCCGCTGAGGCCGCAGACGCCTGAGCCGCCGCCACCGCCCCCTCCCCCGCCACCGCCGCCTCCGCTGCCCGTGGCCCCTCCTCAGCCAGCTTCTACTCCTACTCTTCCCGCGCCAGCCCCACCTATCGCTTCTCCCACGATCACACCAGCCCAGCCATCTGTGCCGCTCACGCAACTTTCTATGCCCATGGAGCTGCCCATCTTCTCGCCGCTCATGATGCAAACCATGCCCCTGCAGACGCTGCCAGCGCAGCTGCCCCCTCAGCTCGGTCCCGTTGACCCTCTGCCCGCCGATCTGGCGCAGCTCTACCAGCATCAGCTCAATCCCAGCCTGCTGCAGCAGCAAAACAAGAGGCCCCGGACCAGAATCACGGATGACCAGCTCCGCGTCCTCAGGCAGTATTTTGACATCAACAACTCCCCCAGTGAAGAACAGATCAAAGAGATGGCGGACAAATCTGGACTGCCCCAGAAGGTGATCAAGCATTGGTTCAGGAACACCTTGTTCAAGGAGCGTCAGCGGAACAAAGACTCGCCATACAACTTCAGCAATCCGCCCATCACGAGCCTAGAAGAGCTCAAGATAGACTCGCGGCCCCCTTCCCCGGAACCTCAGAAACACGAGTACTGGGGGAGCAAAAGATCCTCCCGGACACGCTTTACGGACTACCAGCTGCGGGTCCTGCAGGACTTCTTTGATGCCAACGCTTACCCGAAGGACGATGAATTCGAGCAGCTTTCCAACTTGCTGAACCTCCCGACCCGAGTCATAGTCGTCTGGTTTCAGAATGCCCGACAGAAGGCCAGGAAAAACTACGAAAACCAGGGAGAGGGCAAAGATGGGGAAAGGCGAGAGCTTACCAACGACAGGTATATCCGAACGAGCAATTTAAACTACCAGTGCAAAAAATGTAACTTAGTCTTTCAACGTATTTTTGATCTTATTAAGCATCAGAAAAAGCTGTGTTACAAAGACGAGGATGAGGACGGGCAGGACGATAGCCAAAATGAGGACTCCATGGACGCCATGGAACTGCTGACTCCCACCAGTTCCTCCTGCAGCACCCCGATGCCCTCCCAGGCCTACAGCGCCCCGGCCCCATCGGCCAACGCGACGTCTTCAGCCTTTCTGCAGCTTAACACGGAGGCTGACGAATCCTCCACCTTCAGCTCGAAAATAGAAGCTACAGATGAGAAACCAAAGCAGCCTGAACCTCCCAGTTCACAGCCAAACCAAACCCAAGAGAAGCAAGTACAGCCAAAGCACGAGTCTCAGCAGCAGCAGCAGCAGCAGCCACCGCCGCCGCCGCCGGCGCCACTGCAAGACCAGCTGGAACAGAAGACTAGCACAGCCCAGCCGAAGAATCCTGCGCTGTCCTCTCCAGCCCTGCAGCAGCCGCCCCAGCAGGTTCCTCCCCCTCAGTGTTCCCTACCCCAGTCAAGCCCCAGCCCATCCTCGCAGCTCTCCCATCTGTCTCTCAAGCCTCTTCACACATCCACTCCCCAACAGCTGGCCAACCTACCTCCTCAGCTCATCCCCTACCAGTGTGACCAGTGCAAGCTGGCATTCCCCTCCTTTGACCACTGGCAAGAACATCAGCAGCTTCACTTTTTAAGTGCGCAGAACCAGTTCATCCACCCCCAGTTTCTGGACAGGACGCTGGACATGCCTTTCATGCTGTTTGACCCCAGTAACCCACTGCTTGCTAGTCAGCTGCTCTCTGGAGCCCTGCCCCAAGTCCCGGCCAGCTCGGCCACCTCCCCTTCCACACCAACCTCCACCATGAACACGCTGAAGAGGAAGCTGGAGGAGAAGGCCAGTGCTAGCCCGGGGGAGAATGACAGCGGGGCAGGAGGAGAGGAGCCTCAAAGAGATAAGCGCTTAAGGACGACCATTACCCCAGAACAGCTGGAAATCCTCTACCAAAAGTACCTGCTGGACTCCAACCCAACCCGGAAGATGCTAGATCACATTGCACACGAAGTGGGCTTGAAAAAGCGCGTGGTGCAAGTCTGGTTTCAGAACACCCGAGCTCGGGAAAGGAAAGGACAGTTTCGGGCTGTTGGCCCCGCCCAGGCCCACAGGCGGTGCCCTTTCTGTAGGGCGCTTTTCAAAGCTAAGACTGCCCTAGAGGCCCACATCCGGTCCCGCCACTGGCACGAAGCCAAAAGAGCTGGCTATAACTTGACTCTGTCTGCAATGCTGTTGGATTGTGATGGCGGGATACAGATGAAAGGAGACATTTTTGACGGAAGCGGCTTTTCCCACTTGCCACCCAGCAGCAGTGATGGCCAGGGTGTTCCCCTCTCACCGGTGAGTAAAACCATGGAGCTGTCCCCGAGAACTCTGCTCAGCCCTTCCTCCATCAAAGTGGAAGGAATAGAGGACTTTGAAAGTCCTTCCATGTCCTCAGTTAATCTAAACTTTGACCAAACCAAGCTGGACAATGATGACTGCTCCTCTGTCAACACAGCCATCACGGATACCACCACAGGCGACGAAGGCAATGCAGACAATGATAGCGCAACAGGAATAGCAACTGAAACCAAATCATCGTCAGCACCCAACGAGGGGCTGACCAAAGCCGCCATGATGGCAATGTCCGAATACGAAGATCGGTTGTCTTCTGGTCTGGTCAGCCCAGCTCCTAGCTTTTACAGCAAAGAGTATGACAATGAAGGTACGGTGGACTACAGTGAGACGTCCAGCCTTGCTGATCCCTGCTCCCCGAGTCCTGGTGCAAGCGGGTCCGCAGGAAAGTCTGGAGATAGCGGAGATCGGCCAGGGCAGAAACGTTTTCGGACTCAAATGACTAACCTTCAGTTGAAAGTCCTCAAGTCATGCTTTAATGACTATAGGACGCCAACCATGCTGGAGTGTGAGGTCCTGGGCAATGACATTGGACTGCCAAAGAGAGTTGTTCAGGTTTGGTTCCAGAATGCCAGAGCGAAAGAAAAGAAGTCAAAGCTAAGCATGGCCAAGCATTTTGGTATCAACCAAACAAGTTATGAGGGACCCAAAACAGAGTGCACTTTGTGTGGCATCAAGTACAGCGCTCGGCTGTCTGTACGTGACCATATCTTTTCTCAACAGCATATCTCCAAAGTTAAAGACACCATCGGAAGCCAGTTGGACAAGGAGAAGGAGTACTTTGACCCAGCTACTGTACGTCAGTTGATGGCTCAACAAGAGTTGGATCGCATCAAAAAAGCCAATGAGGTTCTTGGACTGGCAGCTCAGCAACCAGGAATGTTTGACAACCCTCCTCTTCAAGCTCTTAACCTCCCCACGGCTTATCCGGCATTACAGGGCATTCCCCCAGTGTTGCTTCCTGGCCTCAACAGCCCGTCTTTGCCAAGCTTCACTCCATCCAACACAG